AAACAAACAAACAAACAAAAAATCATCTTTTAACTGACCGCTTTATTATTTGACTCTCATTAATATGAAACATTAAGAACATACAATCAAGTATGTTTGTGTCTGAAGACGTTACATTAAAAATTGACATTATAAAGATTGCAAGTTTAGAATATTCAAATGAAATGCACATGTTTTTCTTATTTCTCTTTAAATCAATGAAGACCTTCAGAAAAGCAAAGAATACATACTTGTCACAATGTTGTCACCTATGACAATAGTGGTCTCAACATGATCTCAACACTTAGAAGATTCTTTAACCATTCAACCAACCATTTAGAGTTTGATATGAGTTTGACAATCAACTCTTTGAACCTAATTAAATGATATGTTTGTTAAACCTGCTGTTAACAAACAATGTCAGCTACATTAAAATAAAAGTCTCAGTTAAACTAACTAAATTAAAGAGTTAAGGTGGGCTATTTATATGGATACACCGTAATAACATGGGAATGGTTGGTGATATTAAAGTCCTGTTTGTGGCACATTAGTATACGTGAGGGGACAAACTCCTTAAGATGGGTGGTGAAATATCACACACTCAGACAAAGGTCACACTTTAGCTTATTATGAGATGTCATCACAAAGTTTAACATCATACTTAAGCAATAATTTCACCTTCCCACTTTTGTTTCCAAAGGGTTCTTGACTATGTGTGTAAATTTGACTTTTGGCTGAGTGAAATATCCATACATGACTTGGTTCTGTTACATTTTGGCTCTTTATGTGAGCACCGGGATCTGTAACTGGGGCTACACTGACTAGAGTAGTACACCAATCCAGTGTTGAGTAGCACAGAGCTGTTGCCTTAAGTAGTGGCAGGAAAATGCAGGAACACGGGTTACTTGCAGGTGCGTAGGTCAAATGCGGGAACCTGTAATGAGGAGTGGAAGAGAGAGAAAGAGAGAACAACATAACAAAAACCCAGCTGACATAAATTTGGAGGCACGAAGGATCATGACATCTGCCCGTTCATCACTGGGATGAGAAAGTGTTGCAGCTCTCAGTCTGACAAAACCT